TAGAAATGATGGACAAGATGACGATCATAATAAACCCAAAGATAGTACAAATGGCATGTCCAATGACGCCGAGAATAGTAAGTCCATTGTCAATTATTAAATTGAATAGCATTAAATAATTGGTTTTAATGAATGACATACTTTATTGTATAAAGAATATTATTTAATTTATATTAGATAATCCAACACCATGGTTCAGCTACTGGCCTGATGGCCGTAGTGCCCCCGATCTTAAACATTATTATCGTGCTTATGATAATGATGGTTATGCGGCGGACACCGAATAAAAATTTGACATCGACATCGAACCGGATTTAACCATTGATTATTCGGAAATTGACGTTGGTCAAATTGTCATCAAGGACAATAATAATAATCATGGTCATTTTACGTTGGTGGTTGTGATCATTAACTATAATAGTTTTTATTTTTAATTTTTAAAATTAAACTTATTATTATAATCATAATGTTATAACATGGACTTTTTTGGGTGTTCAAAGCATAGTTGGGGTAAGACAGATTGATCTCGAGTGATCAGCTGTTAAGCGACTGATGGTATGGAAAGGTCGGTGCATTGCCGCCGAGAAGTTAGAAAACTCAGCAAAGGGCGGTACGTCGATTTCAGGCGGCGATAGCCTGAATAGGTTAGGCTATTGGCGCTCAGCCGTCGACGGTTAGACCGCCGACAAAAGGCTGAACGCGCGCTTGCATTGGGCGATAGTGGCCAAGAATACTGGGCTAAAAGTTGGTGCCGTGCCGTCAACCGTTGCCGGATGACTAAAGGCACTAAGACCCCAAAGGAAGGGGGACCGAAACTGCAAGCCATTACAGCTAACAACATTACAGCGGCCCGCAAACACTAGTGGACTACGGCTGCTAGGCGGTTACCGAGTCGGACTTGAATGGCTCGGCTTTGGAGACCGGAATTTATTAATTTAAGCAATAATTATAAATATTGTTTATAATAAAACAAACAGAAAATATAAATGCATTTAAATATATATTTCTGCAAATTCATTGTGTTTAATAAAATGTATTATTAGAGAAAACTTTTTGAGTGCTTATTAGAATGCAAATTATACAATGACTTTTGTCAGAGAGAGAGTTAAAAAGAGAGCGAGAGAGGAAGAGAGCGAGAAAGATGTGATGTAATCTACATCTGTATCGCATTTGTATTGTACAGTACAATGCGTTAACTAAACTGTAAATGCTTTTTCATTTGGGGTGACCAAGGTAATGGGCCAAACATACTTGTTATTATAGTTAGTTCATCTAGTTCATTGCAGTAATTGCAACATTTTTGCAATAAGATTAAAATTAAACATTATTGCTTAGGACAAAAACAATGCAACGACTAATTATAAACATAGTTAACACAACGCACGGCACACTCTGTAAATCATAGTATTATATTTTGCGTGTTTTAACGCAACGTGCCTTAAAAACACAGGCCTTTGACTAAACTTTTTGCTTCACACAGGGTATGGGCACAGATACGGGACTTTTAGTATCAACCGCCTAATAATAAATATAAAATTATAATTTTAACATGTACATTTTATTTTAATAATAAATATAAAATTATTAATAATTATAATTACATTTAAATACATACACTAACTATTTTGGACATTGTCCGGTTCACGGGTAATGGGTTGGGCAGGGCTTGAGTGGCCATCAGGTTGGTTCGGGTATCCGGAAAGAAAAGTGTGACCAGAGTGACCAGCAGTTCATTCTTTGTGCCATTTAAAAACAATCAACTTTGCAAATTTTATAAATAAAACTAAGCAAGTAAGTTTTAATTTAAAAATTAATAAAATAATGCTTGTATTTATTAATTTTGTGGAAGGTTAAATGTTAGATTTTAAGTGACATAAATATTATATTAATTTATTCTATCGCCGGAACTAAAAATAATTAATTAAAAATATAATATTAATTAACTTTATATATCAATATTACAATGCATATATTTATATTTTATAAATAGTTTATTTTGCCTAATACAATAATAATTAATAATACATTGTGTTATATTTAGCTTAACTATTTAATGTAGTTCAATTAATATTTATTTGACATTCTTATTATTTTATGCAATGTGTACTTATAACACATTTATTAATTTTAACATGTGCATTTTATTTTGCAATATCAATAATATATTAATTTTATAATAGTTTTATTAATTTTATTGCAGGTATGATAAAATCTGGCTGTGTTCAGCAACCACCCGTGCCGGACAGCTTACTTGTTACCCTAGTTGGCTATCGCGGACACCTTAACCAGTGGGCAGCTCAGATAACTACACAACTATCGTTATCCCACTGGCTATTACGGCCACTAATTGGTCATTTATTGTTGACCCCACTCTAAGCGACCCCCCGAAGTGACCGGATAACCATTATTACACCGGGGTCTAAGTACGATGCCTGTGTTTTTTTACAGATCGGGCACGTGACCGTTGCGGACGTTAAATCAATGAGTGTCTTTAACATTAGATGATTCACTACTATCTATGAAAGTGTTTAGAATAAATATAGAAAGTGATAGGTAGTTATGATGGCTAGTGATTCTTATTGATGGCAGACGTACAATCCGTAATATATTTACAATGTTGTTAGTTTGTATAATGTATAAATAATATGTGTCTTAGATTGTGAATGTAAAATACTTTTATATATATTTTCTAGTTTTTGTCAAAAAATACAATAGAATGTACTCCTAAATTGTTATTCTTTATATTTTCTAAAAAATCGCCTTTAGAAAAAATTCTTTACAATTTCTCTCCCTCTCTCTCCGAATATATAATACGAGGGTCAGCACAGGTGTATTAGCGTATTAAGGGACGAAATGAGCTTAACCTATGCAAAATTCTACATAACAAACACTCAAATGACATGAATTGTGAAATTTATTGTCAAATCTTAGAGTGAAAGGGCTAGTAATGCTCTTTAATTTTGCAGATGTTCATAAATTAAATCAATGAGTATCATCAGCAATTGATGGCTAACTATATATGAATGTTTTTGATATAAATTGAAAGATAACAAATAAGTCATAATGGCTATTAATTATCTATGATTAATGCTGCAGATGTTCATAAATTAAATCAATGTGTATTAGCAGCAATTGATGGCTAACTATATATGAATGTTTTTAATACTGTATGAAAGAAAGTCTCATGTGTTGACATACATTTACGCCATTACTCTTTCAATATTACTTTTTTTCAATCTATTAAATTATTTTATATAGCAAATTCGCCTAAATTAATTTGAAGCCGCGTCGAAGATGCGTCGAAGATCCCCAAAACCATAAAGCGGTGTAGAAGATCCTTTGTTGGCGGCGATTGCGGTTGTGTTGAGGTCTGTGGCATCGGTGCGCGTTATGAATGGAAAATATGGCGGCGCAGTAGTGCGGCGGTTTGGTTGGCGGTTACAATGATTAAGGCGGCTGGAAATAATTGGTGGTTTGTTGTCTGTCGGTGTAAGTAACTATGTGTCAATGAAATGATAAACGTTAAATATTTTTAATTACATTAAAATCAAATATTATTAACTTTAAAAGGGTTCGGCGGCGGTAGTTATGGAAGCTCTCGTGGTGGCGGCGGTTACGGCAAAAAGTGGTAATACCCTAACTGAACAGACATGTATATAGATTTTTACATTTTTCATTTGATGATATTTTTCGTTGTAATTAAAATCACAAATAATTTAATAATTTGTTAATACTTACAATTTATTTGTAAGATACGGCGGCGGCAGAAATGGGCGGTGGTGGATGCAAAGGGTTTAGGACTGGTGACACACTGGTGATCAAATGGTAAGTAATATTATATTAAGCTTTAAGTTTAGCATAAAAAATAAAACTTACAGTTTTACAGTTACAAAACTTATGACTATAAATTTTAAAATTTAAAAGTTATATACTAAAACTTGTGGTCAGTATTTCTCTTTTATTAGCCAACCAGACATCGTATCCGTGTGAGGCCAACACAAGGTCCTGTATGGATGTCCTGATGGGCGACACCCATGTCCTGCATATAACTCAGGCCTATATTTTTGAGTAAAAATGTAATTATATTTTGTTGTTGAGAGAGCTAATGATCAGTCATTAACTGAACGGGTGGCTGCCGTCGCAACGTATTCAATACATTCAATTACTATTCGTATTAGTCTACATATGAATTATCAGAAACAGTACAGACGTAAGTGAAGTAATGTACTTTTATGAGAGACCCAAAGTTCTATATTGAGTTTTTAATGAACAAGTTAAAACTGTTTGATATGTAGTTTAACAAGTCTTATTTTTAACTAAGCTATGGATATAGTCCTAAAAACATTATTTGGTTAACTTATCCTCATAAAACGAGTATGAATACAAATTTACAAAATCTCAATTGCTTGCCATTTAAAATGGACTTGTTCAATTTTAACAATCACCATGTCAAATTGTTCATAATTAAATACACGAAAAATATAATTTGTCAAGTTTACAATATTTTAATTTTATATTGTAAAAACCAGGCTGTTACTTGTTCTATGATAATTTTTAATGTTTTAAGTGAATATTAAACATCCAAATAATAATTATTTTTCCTTTATTTAATTCTGAACAATTTGATATATTAGTGGTTAAAATTGAACAAGTACATTTTAAATGGCAAGCATTTTAGATTTTGTAAATTTGTTTTCTATGAGCAAAATACTCATATTCAATTGGTTTATTACAAAAATCCTGATATAGGTATCGACTCAATTTTAATTCTGAACAATTTGATGTATAGTTTGTCAAAATTGAACAAGTAATTTTTAAGTTATAAGAACTTTGGGTCGCTCATCGAAATACATTACACCACTTACGTCTCTACTGTTTCTGATAATTCAATTAAATTCTGAACAATTTGATGTATAGTTTGTCAAAATTGAACAAGTAATTTTTAAGTTATAAGAACTTTGGGTCGCTCATCGAAATACATTACACCACTTACGTCTCTACTGTTTCTGATAATTGTTAACAAAATTATTAACAAAATAAAATGCAATACAAAACAAAACAATATTAACACAATAAATAAAAATACTAAATTCATGAGTAAAGACCAGTAATATATACTTACACAAATATTAAAAATGGTGTTTTTTATAGTCAATAATAATAATAAATGAAAAAATAATTTGATATCTATTATACCCCCGAATATGTGAATATAATTTGTATCTCAAAACTCCATTTTATTGCTAATTTCGATATTTAATTAAGTTATATTAAGTACGATACTAATTTTAATAAATTTGTGTAAATCAATTTTTGACTACTGAATTTGTTAATTAATTGTACCTTTGTAAAATTTACAATAGAACATATTATTATTTATAATTGAAATAATTAAAACAACATTGTTAATTAAAGTATCATTTTAAGCACATAGGACAATTTTGTCAATTGCTTATACCAAGCGATTCCGGGGCGGATCCTGAAACCGGTGCCGGTGTTTGTACACCATATACACGGCTATAGTGATGGCGACCACAACAGACACCAATGATATGAGGCTAACAATAATTGAGTGCTTAGTGTACACATCGATGGCCAGACATGACTCGAGCGCCGGCGGCTTAAACACGCGTTCAATTGGCGGATAGCCTACGGGTCCCTCGTATTCATCACCCGTTTTATACCAATAGCACTCCAGACTTTGCGTTAGATTTAGCATAATATTATAAGACTGGTCTAGGTGAGTTTGATCCCAGTCCTGTTTCGCAGCCAGGTAACTTGTCAATTGTTTACCCACTAGTTTACGGGCCGCCGGGTCAGTAACTCCGGCCACTCGACGTCGGTCATCATCGGTCAGTCCACTGAAACAGGGCTTAGATTTAGCCATTTTGGGGTAATAGTAGAGCCACGCGGTGCACATCTCGTCGGTGGTGGCGTACCCGCCCTGTGTATAGCAAAATAATTACCATAATACTATTAGTTAAATAATTATCAGGGTGATTTTAAGTACTACAACTGACCATGGTTGTACGATTCTTATGACTCGACCCGTACTCGCACTCGACGGTCAACTGATCGCCGAAAATGATTTTTCTCATCGGCTTTACTACGCGAAACGACTGGAGATTGAAGTCGTAATTCTGGTCAAACTCGAGCCACGGAAGCTCTAACCCGTCCCGGAAGTGACGGATCTTTAATTTTGTCGCTAATATTTATGTAAAATAAAACATTGTATTTAGTATAGTATGTAGTATTTAGTGTTTAAAGGGTAGATGCAGTGGTGGTGTAATACCTAAGAGGTGCGCGTGTGGCCAAATAGCAAACACTTTTAGGCCATCATGGTCCATGTACTTAATTAAATGATGATAAACATTAATTAGTTATGATTCGTAGTTAACCTTAATTGATAAGCAAAAATATATTATTTGTTTTTTAAAAATTATTATGAGTTGAGATTCTGTACCCGAATATTGTGCACAAATATTAATAGCATTAATTGGTTTGTAATTTTTAAAGCTAATTAAATAATTGCATACATTTTCAAAGCACTTGGTATGGCAGTGGCCGGTAATGTGAAACGCGGACTGTCCCGGGGGTATGAATATCCTATCATCCAGGGGCGAGCCAATGCCCAAGGTGAAAGCCTCATACTTTCTATGCTGTTGCGTGTAAAACACCTCGATTCCAGACGAGTCTAGTCGACCGGCCACTCGGTCCGGGTTATCGTAGTGCATGTTTATCATCACATACCGGGGCTCAGCGCCGGCGGAGCCCATGGGAAAGGCCACGTCGGCCGGCAGATTGAAAGAGCCGGCGCCCACCGCCCACATCAGGTGCGGCACAAAACAGTGTTGGTAATCGGCTGGCATACTGGCGCTGTCCGTACAATCGTGTCCCGCGCTGTTGGCGTATTTGGTCAAAGCTTGTGGGTTGGGATGAGCGCACTCGTACACCGAGATGTGGTGCGTGAACGGCTCGTTGCCCGGTGTTAGGTATGGGTCAAACTGGAGAACGTGATGAAATTAGATTAGTTAATTGATTAAATTAAATTAGTATTAAAGTTAATATGCAAAACACAATTAATCACGTTATATTATACGTAACCATTATAAAAACCACTACAAACCTTCACCACGTGCAGCAACTCTCGGGGCAATTGAAATATTTTGCACCAATAAGTGGTCTCTTTGGCAGGTATTGTGACCTAGATGTGTTTTCTTAATTAATTAAACAACTTAACAATTAAAACACAATTGTAAACAAAACTAACATTTTTAAGATTAAACACTAATCGCTTTAAATCGGATTCTTGAGGCTCTGTATCGGCGGACTTTGGCTGCGATAATAACAGTGCACTTCTTGAGCCGCGTTGACTGTGACCATGTTTAGTGATGTCGGCGGCGGTGGTCGGGTCGACATCGCCGTAGGCATAGATTAGCCGTATAGTGTCTCGCGTAATGTCCAGATCGTGGTCTGTATCGCACGTACGTAACGGCCGTACAAAGTGTATGATAGTATGCGTGGAGTTTTGCCCCGAGTCCAAGAGATACCAGTCCTGGTGAGGGTCTATGAGCGGTACGGACTCCCCCGTGGCGTACCGGTCCTGTTGGGGGTGTAATCGGTGTTAGTTTATGAGAAATATTGATTACAACCGACATGAAAATGTGTGACTCCTGTCCGGTCGTCGACCCACGCGATGACCAAATCGCTGGACTTCATGCCCCCATTGGGCGACAGTCCGAACCCAACCCAACCCCGGGTCCGCACTTCGCACAGGAATTCAACGCTTTCGTTGCGGGCATTGATATTCCACTTAACACTGTATAGCTCTTCCGGATCTAACCATAGGTGATATGTCCACACATTTGTGTTATTAATTGCGGTCGAATAGACTGGTGTGATGTTTGCGTGCGATAATAGTAGTAATACAGGCACTACTAAATCAAGTTTTAACATTGTTTGACATTTATTTTAAAATATACAATGTTATTTTTAATTGAGTAAATTAATAAGTATGTTCATGCACAAATATTTAAGCTGTATCATTTAAGGCAAGTTGTGGTTATTGCACTATGTAACTTTTGTATTTAGATAGTTTTTTTTAAATTATCATGTTGTTTATTGGCTTATATAAATGTTTAATTGATATTATTGACATGAAATATAAACAAGATTATTTATCATCTGCGTGAACTATTTTACAAATAATTAATAAATTATGCTATAAAATAATCTCTATTCAAATCAATTACTCAAATGAATAGGCTATGTCAAATAATTGTGTTTAAATCAAGTTGGTTAAATAAATTGCTCATTGATTAAAAACTTTGACAACAAACAAACAATAATAATTATTGGATATTGTGTGAAATGTTTATACAGTATTTAATACATAACGATAAATTAAAATCTACTCAAATGACCATGATCTATAACTTGTAAAAATAATCATCATTCTTTAAATCAATTAAATAAATTACATTTTCTGCATTAAAATAATTATTGATAATAATTATTATGTTTATTTTATTTATATTGAATAAGTATAATAGTGCAATTTAAAAAATACTTAACTCATTATAATAATTCATAAGATGTTTGATTGGTTATTAATTACTATAAAAATAATTTAATTAAAAATTTAATTTTACATTTAATTAAATTATACGGCACTGGGAGAACAGCCAATAGACTTTATTTTTACTCTAATTTTAATATTAGTCAATGTTTTTAGATTAATCTTACAGTTTATAGTCAAATATTATTAGATTTCTCTCTCTCTCTCTCTCT